TGAATCTGACTATCACAGATTTCAGGTTGTGTGAAATTTAAAACAAAGATTATTTAAGTATGAATATAGCAATCTCTATGTATAGACATAAAGTTCACACAACAGCTCAAAATCTCTGGACATAATAAATAATACATAAAATACTATTCTTTTGGTGTGTGTGCACTATTCTTTTGGTGTGTGTTACATAAACATTTTTATAAAGCGACGACCAAGTCTAATAATAATGACTACAAAGTCTACATCAATAAGCATCTTCAAGAGACTTCAAGCAACATCAGGTCTTCAGTCCATTAAGTAATTGGAATTGTAAATTTATCTTTCCAGTGTGGAATAATAAGTCTCTTTGCAGTAAGAATGAAACAGAGAATTTCTGCTGTCCAGCTGTGGAATGACAAGTAGCTGGTGTATAAATCAAAAGAAGTTGGCTAAAAATATTGAAAATATCCCAGTTAATATATTGTATGACTTCCTAGACAACCATATGACATTGTAAAAAAAAGCAATTCTCACTTTCTGAATCACCAACAGCATTATTAATTATTCATTTCTTTTCTAAACTAATGTGATGGATTATAACTAGTATTTTTATAGAATAAGCTATAATATAAGATCTACTTAAATTTTTGATGCAGACATAAAAGCAGTCTCTTGTTCTTTAAAAAAAATGGGACTCTCCAGTCCTGTATTCCATTCGGTTTTCACAATTGAGTTTTTTTGGCAACAACCATAATAAAAACTGATTGGTAATACTAAAATCTGGTATTTAGGTGTACTGAATCTGAAATTGTTGCTGCTCCAAATTGAAATGTCAGTAGATATTGCTATTATTGCTACAGAGTGGCAAAAGAAAATATTTCTTCTTTAACATAGAAAATGAGAAAAAATATCAATATTACTCAATAATTGATCTAAAGTAGAAACATAAGATTAAATCCAAGATTCCATATAAAAGTTTGTTTAAAAAAACAAATTTAAAATATGGATTGCCTGACAACATTGATTTATGATAGGGCAAAAAGAATCAAAATGCAATTTTTGAGAAATAGTATGGCATAGTGTTCAAATCAACATACTGCAATAGTGACAGAAGTTGCATTACAAACAATCCAATTAATTAAAATCCTTATGCATGCATATTCCAAAAAAGGCTTGGGAAGGATAATTTATACTGGATGAAGCCATTCAAAATTGGCACGAGACAGAAGTTATGCAGTGATATAATTCAAAAAAAAAAACAACCCTAGTTATTAACTGCAACTGCATTTTGAATGTCCATTTCCACCTAGAAAAATAAAGATCAATATATATTGCCTAAAGTTCATATTTGGCAAATCTGAGATTGAAATGGGTGAAGACTTATATCTTTTTAACTTGATCTTTTGAATTGCTTCCAGATCCTTGAATTTAAGCCAACATTATTGTGGAAGACAAGATAAAAATATAAATCAATTTTAGTAAGATTTCCAATAAACGTGTACTCCTCTACTGATCCCTTATCTATATCCCATGTTTTAATATTTAACAATAGTTCTCTTTCTGAAGCTTAACAATGATTCAAGAAACAACCTCTTCCCTGTTACTGCTCCTCTAAATTAAGAAAGAACAGGAATGAGGCTATTTACAAATGACATTTAAAATGAAATTTTAAATTACATCATTCAGTACCTAAATATTCAATCGGAGGGTAAAAGGAAATAGCAATAGCACTTAGATTTATATACCACTCCACTGTGTTTTACAGTCCTCTTTAAGCAGTTCACAAAGCCAGCAAATTGCCCTCAAGAACCTTGGTCCTACTTTTAGTGATCATGGAGGGATGAAAGGCTGAGTCAACCTGGAGCCCCATCAGGATCAAACTCCAGGCTGTGGACAGTTTGCCTGCAATACTGCATTCTGACTATTGTGTCACCGTAGTTGTTCAAAATCCATTTAGTCTATATCTCTCCAATATTGTGTAAGCATGATTACCAATGAAAATACAGTACAGAAGGAACCAAGGCCTGAACAAATAGGAAGGAAGAAAAATGGTATGTTCCTCTATCTTTCTTTAGCCATTTAACTGTAGCTAAAGATGAACTGGGTTTTATTTACAACAGTCCCTGCTTTTTCACATACATACATTCTTTTTCATCCATTCTATTCAAATACCTTGACTGTTGGAATAAACAAAAAGTTGGGATCTATATTCAACAGCAAGTAAATATTAAATAAAACATTAAAATGCAGAAGCATCTGAAAAAACATACACCAATTATTACAGTTTGAAAATAATACTGTACATCACTGATAATGCTCAACAGAAAAGTTCTACAACCTTTCTGACTTTGTAGAACAGCTGGGGGGAGGGGATGGTTTCACATGAGCGGTGAGCAAGTGCACACAGCTCCATTTGCGCAAGTGGAAGACACAAGTGCCCACCCTCTGCACAAATGGAATATTCTTCCCTGCTGCATGTGCCCACTTGCCAAGGTTACCTCTTTACATCTTTCCCCGTCTTTGCCGTTTCAGTTGAGACTCTGTTGACTCTTTCAGCAAAAATGAAACAATTGTTCAAAGCATGCCATTGAATATTTAATCTTTCTCTCTACAATAGCTTTTTCTGGGCGGACAAAATGAGGTGGGCAAGTAATCATTCTGGCTGCTCCTAATCAATTGCCAAGTATGTCACAAAGAGTAACCAAGAATAAATATTATTGTGGAAGAAGAAATATTTCTCAAGCCATGTTTTAAGTTGTGCTTGCAATCATTTTCGTGTGTGCCAAAAAGAATTTCTTCATTTTGTATACAGAAAATCAGCATTAACTGTAACTTTCAAGCAAGCTTCTAAGTACACTACAATACAGCAATCTAAATAGACTGCCACAGTGTGGAAATTGGTTTCCAAATCCTTGTTATAAAGAAAAGCTGCCATTAATTTACCAATTAAAGTTGATAAAATAGCAATCTCAACTGCTGTAGTGACGTGGGGCCTGCTGGTAAGTTCTAGACAGCTGGATCTGTGGCAAGGTGCTGGGTTGAATCTAAAGGGCTATTCATAAATACAGCACCCCACTAGATCTTCTGGGAAATTAGCTGCTATTTCACTGCAAAGCAGAGTCAAAGTATCTGATGATCTGCTAGATGTGGAGAACAGAAGGAAATCTGTCTATGTTGGAGTTTGAAATAAGATTAATGAAAGGTAACCAAAGGCAAGAGGAGAGATGAAAGATAGAGGGAAAAAAATAGCTGAATATAATTTGCATTTCCTGAATCTTAATAAATGATTTAATTCACAGACACATATAAAAAGGAAGCCATATATACTTACAAATTATAAAGCATATCAGCCATGTTGCTGCGATAATACAAGGCATTTCTATAGGCGCTTTCAGCTTCAGAAATCTTACTCTGGCTCTTCAAAACATTTCCAAGGTTACCCCATGCTGCCAAGAGAAGAACATAGTATTGAGAAGGAATTGCAGTCCAATTATACACAATTTAATATCTGAATAAGGAGTTATTATGACAAGACCTAATAATCTTTTCTCTGATTCAGTTTCAAGACCTCAGCCCACCCCATTTTCATTAGATACGCTATTTCACATACTAGTAATAATAATACACATTTTGAACCACAGCCACCGTTTTAATTCCCAAAGCCATATACTCTCAATATATTTTCAGCATCACAAATTTCTTACAATTTTTACACTGAAATATAGGAGCAATTTTTTTCGTACATGAACTATTGGGCGCTGAGCATGCAAGAACAAGAAATGCTGTGTTATATATATTATTAAGGCCAGTTTCATGGCTTAGGTTCGTTGCTTTTTTGTTTGTATAGGTAATGGTTATTACAGGTACACTTGAATTGGTTACATGAATGGTTACAGGTTATAGTTAGTTCTCAGTTTACAACCACAATGGAGGCTGAAATTTCTGTTGCTAAATAAGACAGTTGTTAAAGTGAATTATGGTTCATATTTTCTTGCCACTGGCAAGTGAATCATTGTAGTTGTTAAGTTAGTAACTCAGTTGTTAAGTGAATTTAGCTTCGCCCATTGACTTTGCTTGTCAGAAGCCAGTTGGGAAGGTTGCAAATTGTGATCATATGACCTCAAGCAGTGCAACTGTCATAAATACATGCCAGTTGCCAAGCCCCTGAATTGTAATCACATGACCAAGGGGATGCTGCCACAGTCTAAGTGTGAAAAACAATCATAAGTCTTTTTTTTCAGTGCCATTGTAACTTCCAATGGTCACTAAACAAATGTTGAAAGCCTATCTGTACTTGACAGTCTCTTCTAGGGGGAGAAGCTAATTTCTACAGGCAGTGAAATTGCTAATAAAATGTGCAATTAACTATATACCCTGTGTACAGTCTGTTGCTTGACTGCTATTTTATGGATTGGAGAAAATGCCATCTACCACATTTGCAGATTTTGCAAATGATACCCCTGATTTTGGCAATAGAACAAAAATACTCAAGTACTCAGAAGAGTGAGAGAGATGAGAAGAGAATACCGATTTCTGACCAAAATGCTACTTTAAAAAGAAGTGAATTATAGATGGCTGATTCCAGAAGGTTTAATGTTCACATGGCAAGAACAGAGACATAGAATTGACTCAATTGAGAAAGCTGAATTATTTTACACAGAATATTTTGGAGGGAAAGAGGAGGAGGCAGAAAAAGAAATGTCATTAATTGAATTCCAAGAGGACTGCCAAATGGCGACTGAAAAAGAAGAAGGTGCAGTAGGTGGAAAGGTGGAAGCCAAAGAACAACGTGAACCAAGATCTACGAGAGCTGCTAAACCTAACTACAAAATATAACCATGGAAGAGAAAAAACTGATTACAATTAACATAAATGGACTCAACTCAGCTGTTAAAAGAAGGAAAACTTTCCATAAATTAGAGAAATTAAAATTTGATATAATCTGCCTACAAGAAGTACATATCAAAAAGCAATATGAACAATTGCTGATACAGCCAAAACTAGGAAAAATATTTACTTTACTATGAAAACACTCCTGATTGCAGTCTATGCCCCGAATGACAATCAAGAAGAATTTTATAAAAAATTACATATGAAAATAATTGAACTGGACTATGAAAATATAGTTATGATGGGAGATTTTAATGGAATTGTAGATAATAAACTAGACTACACAGCACAGAAAACAACAAAGCAAAACAGAAAGACTCTCTATAAATCTTTTTTTTAAATGATAGATGAAATAAATTTAAAAGCTACATGGAGAGAAAGAAATGCTAAGACTAAACAATACACCTTCTATTCAAATAGACATTTATCATGGTCCAGAATAGATATGATATGGATGTCAACAGAATTGTTAGCTAATATTCAAGAAATAAATATTGAAACAAGTACTTGGGCAGATCACAATCCAATGACAATTAAATAGAAAGGACAAAGAAGAAGATCTAGATAGACGTTAAATAATACTATTTTAAAGGAAAAAGACTTCACACGGTGGATGGAGAAAGAACTGGCTTTCTTCTTTAGAGAAAACAAAAAAGAAGATACATCAATGCAGAACGTATGGGATACAATGAAGGCAAATGCCAGAGGCTTGATTATAGACTATACAAGGAAACGAAATACCATGAAAAGACTAGCCTCTAAGGCATTAGAGGATGAGTATAAAGGACTTGAAAAAGAGCTACAGAAAATGCCACAATAAAAGGACATTAAGTTAAAAATGGATATAATTAAACATAAAATGGGTCTAAGAGAAAAAGAAGAACTAGCACAGAAAATCAGAGGTACAAAACAGAACTACTTTGAAGATGCAAATAAACCAGGTAGGTGGTTAGCATATAAATTGAGAAAGGAGAAAGAATCAAGGAAAATATTGCAATTAATAGATGACCAAGACCAAGTTTGCTATGGTAGTAAAGAGAAGAAGGAAATCACATGAGACTATTATGGGAAACTATACACATAAGAGAATATTGATGAGGAAAGTGTTAAACAGTACTTACAGAGTGCTAATCTACCCCAGATACCTAAAAAGATTGAAACAATGTTAGAAAGCAATATAACGATGATGGAGTTAACTGAAGTACTCAAGAAGCAAAACAATGGAAAGGCACCAGACCCAGATGGACTTCTGGCAGAATTTTATAAAACATTACAAGAATCGGTGAAACTTCCATTGCTAGAAGTTATAAATGAAGTTATGTTAAAGAAGAAGATACCCAAGTCAGATCAGAAGCTTATATTACACTTGTTCCAAAAGAGGAGGCCGATCCATTACAAATCAAGAACTATAGACCTATTTCCTTACTAAATGCAGATTATAAAATTTTTGCTTCAATATTGGCAGAAAGACTTAAAAAATACTTAAATAATTTTATACATCCTGATCAAAATGGATTTCTGCCAAAGAGACAAATTAAAGACAATATGAGAGTAATATTGGACACTTTGGAATACTACAAGGCACATCCTGAAAAACAAATGGCTTTGATATTGATATTGAGATCAAGTACTTGGGGATACATTTGACAGCAAGATATAGTACACTAAAAGAGAATAATTATATCAAACGTAAGCAGCAGATAGCGCTAGACTTGGCAAAATGGGAAAATTTACAACTGTCATTAATAGGGAGAATATCAACTATCAAGATGAATATATTACCCAGAATTTTATATTTGTTCCAAACAATTCCAGTTAGGCTTGGAAAAGATTACTTTGAAGATTTAGATAACATTGTGTTGAAATATATATGGCAAGGTAAGAAAGCGAGAATAAAGTTAAAACTTTTGCAAGATGCTAGAATAAGAGGAGGATTTGGTTTGCCTAATTGGGAGTTGTATTACCAAGCTACAAATTTGATGTGGGTTAAGGAATGGATAACATTAAGAAATACTAGATTGTTGACACTAGAAGGACATGACCTGTTGTTGGGGTGGCATGCTTTTCTATGGGGTATTTTAGGGGTATTTTAGAAGACATTATATACGAGAGTCTCTGTGGTTAAACTGGGAGAAGACTAAAAGACAATGTTGTTTGGAAATTGCAGTCTGGCTATCGACTATTGAAACATTTTCTTATCCTATAATATATAAAAAAGAACAATCAGTTAGATTTGGTGAAATATTGCATGAAAAGGGTGAACTTAAATCTATGCAAAAATTAGAGGAACAAGATATAAAGATGAATTGGTTTTCATATGCGCAAATACATTCAAGGTATGATAAAGATTCTAAAACAGAAGGTTTCTATGATAAACTGACTGATTTAGATAAGATTTTGACAGGTAAAGATTGAAAAATTGTATGGATATTGATTAGAAATTAAACTAGAAGAAGAACAAGTTAAAGAAACTATGATTGCTTGGAGGAAGAATTTTGGATATGGGATTGATCTAGAGAAATGGCAAAAATTGTGGTCTCAAAATTATAAAATGACAATGTCAACAGCATATAAAGAAAATCTGTATAAGATGTTTTACAGGTGGTATTTTCCCCCAACAAGAATAGCAAGAAGGTTCAAGAACAAATCTGAAAAATGTTGGAAATGTCATCAGACACCTGGTTCATATTACCATATGTGGTGGACTTGTGCGGATGCTAAAAAATATTGGACTAAAATCCACATGTGGTTGGAAAAAATGACAAAAAAGCATATAGACTTGAAACCAGAGATATTTTATTGGGAATTTTACCTGAAATATATAGTAAAGAATTGAAATACCTGATTGTAAGTGTATTAACAGAGGATAGGATTGTATTTGCCAAAAACTGGAAAAATGAGAAAATACCATTACAGGAGGAAATCATGAAGAAAATATTGGAATGTGCTGAAATGAGTAGATTGACATTTGAAATCAGAGAACAAGATGATAAACAATTTTATAAAATTTGGGATCTATTCTATCAATGGTTAGACAATAAAACATGGTAATGAAATATGTAGATTCTTAGAAAATAATAAATATATAAAGATGTATTCTTTTCTTATTATAGCTACAAAATGATTGTAGGATAGATTTGAGATGATAATATGAACTGTCATAAAACAAATTAAGTAAAATATGGATTATTTCGTGAAACATGAATAAAAGTATAGTCAAATGATTGATTAACAATGATATCAATGTATTTAATATTTGATTGAAAATATGAGAATATACACAATGTAATTGTAATTGAAGACTACGAAATGGAAGCAAAAACAATTTGTAAACCAACCGTGTGTGTGTGTGTGTGTGTACACACACACACACACACATACATACATACAGTATGTATGTATGTATGTATATATGTGGAGGATGGCTTTATGTTTTTATGTTTTGTTTGTCTGTTTGTCTTAAAAACCAATAAAAATTAAAAAAAAAGAAAAGAAATCCCTCTCCCCATTTTTTTCTTTCATATATTTTAGCTGAAACAAGACAGAGGTATTCAAT